TCCCTACCCAAAAACTGATGAATGACTTTTTTTCTTTTTATGGAAAAGAATGATCCAAGAAAGATTGAAACATAGTCCTAAAGTCTTAATAACCTTAATAACCTTCCTCCTCAGAGCAGGAAGAAAAAATGCAGGCTCTCTAGGAGACAAGAAATTAAGAAACGGTTACCAAGGATCCTCACAATAGTAGTAAGTATACAAATACATCTCACAATTAACAGCCTAAGGCCACTTCTGCAGGACAGTTGGACCCTTTGACCACTGACAAATTTAATAATATACTTTCTTTTTGTTTAGTACATCTAGGCCAGGGTTTCCAAGGACATTCACATGCCATGGCTTCACTGTTGTCTTCCCTAATGACAACAATGTGGCTAGGCTTAATCTTTCCCCTGGCAAAGTGCTTTCTCCGGTCATCATTAAGAGTGCTATATCCCAGAGTCTCCACAAATGAGGGTTAGTGAGGGTGCTACAAAATCTTTTTCTGCCCAGAATCCAAAGGTCTTGCCAACAAAAGTATTTTATTCAGCCTTGGGGATGCTCTGGTCAAATCCCTATCTTTTGGGATAGCAGGGGAAGAAGGTGCAAGTTACCCTAATCTGAGCAAGAAGGAAGTTTTCCCCACACAGGACGTGGTAGATGAGAAAAAAGGGAGGGTGGTTCAATAATCCCAAATGTGAGAAACTATTAAACTCTTGGTGCCTTCTAAATTACTATGTTTATAGAAAGACCACTTTGCTTACCAGAAAAGAAAAGGAAAACAGGGATGGAGTGAACTTCTCTGTGGAGGATCCCACCAGCCACCCACCATGCTCAATCAGACCACACTATGGCTGATAAATATGTATAAAAAATGGTTGTAAGACCTGGCTCAGCTCCCCTGAGACAGGTAGTCACCATGGTGTTGGACTCTAACCTCCTGACTCCAGGTCAGCATCCACTTGGGCTGCCCAGACTCTTCTTCCTGCAGTCATGGCCTGGTTTTTACAAGATAGACTCCCTTATACTGACACTTCCACTTACATTCAACCCTTCTCCATCTTTTTGTCACTGTGGATCAAGTCTCTGAGGTGTTTGTGCCTAAACTTTCTCCTGTAAGGAGCTGCCCCATGGAAACCAAAGGGCTTTTAATGAAAATAATCAGATATTTTTAGAATATAAGCTAGAATTCTCAGCTTGTTAAACTGAGAAAAGTCTAGGTGACTAGGTCAACAGATTAGAACTAAAAAGGGTGCACATGCACTTTTCTTTGTGCTGACTGTGTCCCCTTAGAAAGAAATTCTTGCATTTAGTGAGGCAACTCAGTGGCTTTCTGAGTGGCAGAAAACTGTGGCCAGCACCTTCTAAAGCCTAGAAAGCTGCTGTTCCTTCAGCTCTGAGACTTGCCTACCTCCTCCAGTGCTCAGTAGTTTCTCAGGATGCACCACAAATCCCCAACAACCTGCTGCAGCCCTTCTCTCTGTGTATTACCCTTCATTGACCTTTCCCCCAGGCAGTTTATTTCGTCTCCAGTGGACAGCCCGACGCTTCCCTGGTGTCTGAAAGAAACGTAGCAGAACTGAAAACAAACCAAAAATCCAACAGAAGAATCATGTCTGTCATACCCTTATTCATCCTGGGTACTCAGCTATGAGTTTCTGGATTTAGATGTTTCTTTTCTAAAACCAGACTTTGTTCTACTGTTTCTGCAGCCCTCTATCTGCTTATGGGAAAAAAACAACCCAAATGTCTTTGCTCCATTAAGCCCCTGTCCAACAATATTTCTGCAGGTGGCCCATAAGTTTTAACAATTCACCTTTTTGATTTGCAGGGAAAGGAGATTTTCATCCAGCTTCATTTAAAGAGTAAGATAAATACTTTCATGCAAGCATTCAGAAATACCATATTCTCATAAAAACCCCTCATGTTAAACAGAATTCACAGTCAGTAAATAGCGTCCCTGCCTTGTCATGTTGCTGACATTTTAGCTGACCTTTACATCTGCCATGCTGTGTACTCCTCTGTCTCACTGTAATGCTTATGTCAATGTTAAATTGAATGATCAGCTAATTAGATGTATACTACTTTTTTAGAGATTCATTATTTCTCCATAGAGGCAGGAGGCAGTCACAGTTCTGAGTCTCTACACCACTACAGTTGTATGAGATACCCACAAAGCACCCGTTGTTTGGCTCAAGAATATTTTTTCCTTGATGAAGGACTCTGGCTCTTTGCTCAGCCAAAATACTTATAAATTGCTAAGAGCAAATTGTTTTTCCTTGCCTCTAACGAGGACAGCCTGTAGCCTTGAACTAATGTGTTCAATACAATACTCAACAACGCAAAGAAATTCAGATTGAAATTTGGGAGTCTGCATTTTGACAAGGAATGACTCTGCCCATTTTCAAAATAAATGAGAATAACCGAGTAAGTTTAGTGATAAGAAGACCGTGAAGAGCCAGGAGTTTTCCTTTCCCTGGGAAATCGAGATGTCTGCCAGGGGCCATAGAGCAACGTGAACAGACAACAGCTTCTACTGACTATACCTGGGAAGGGCTGATCAAAATTGCTGGAATCAAGCACTGCAAGGCTTATGCCGAAAATAATATGTTCACTGACAGAAAAATAAAAAAATATTACAAGTATAATGAGTAGTTTAGGCACACAAGACCCCAGTGTTTGTAAAACAAACAAAACCCAAGAACATCTGGCTTGTTTTCTAGCCCTCAGGCTGCCGTCAATTTCTCTGTAAACTCTATACATTTCTGAATATGCTTAAAAAAAAAAAAAAGGAAGGAGGTAGGGCTGAGGAAAAGTGCTCTGGAGACAGAGGCCTTATTGATCCTGTCACGGGCAAGGAGAACACAGATGGCTGCAGGGCTTGTAGCTATCAACATATCCTATATAATGAGATGTCCAGTCTCAGACTGACAGAGTCCAATTGGGCCAGGCCTGTCATTGCTATTTCACATCAGTTTACAGGCCCCTGAGCACTATACCTGTATTTTAAAGTTTTACTTTTCCTAAAGATGGGAAAGCAATACAACTGGGGACAGAATATCTAACTAGTTTTATTCTGGGAAGGCAGCTTTGATACATGACGATCTAGGTATATTGTTTTAGTACTTCTATGGCGTATTGAATCCCAATGGCTATGGTTTATGGTTTACAGCAAAAAGAAAAAAAATCATTTACAGTTCTAGAAGTGGGTCAAGCAAACACTAATTACAGGGAAAATGAAAAGCAACATTTTCTGTGCTCTGCAGGGCATGTCAATACTGTTTGCTGTTGCTTTCTCTGAGGAAGAGCAAGCTCAGATTACAGAGCTGTCACCAGCCACCCCCTTTCACAGCTATGATTTTAGTGTGTTTAAATATTACTTTGAAATGGTACCTTCTTTACTTAATCATGAAATGAATAGTAGATTAAATCCAACATAACCATTGGTTGGTTGGTTTGGTCTGTGCTGTTGTCCCTCCACAGTTTGTAAACGTAGCCTTTGGAGATTTTACTTAGATTTGTCATAATACCTGCTCACTTGTCAGGATATAAGAATTATTTGTGACAGATGCTATACAAACCCATGAGAAAGAGTGAGCTCAAAGATAGTACTTTAGCTAAATGAATGAGAGTGCAGAAACTCCTTATTTACCTTTCAAGGGTCAGGTGCATCCCAATATATAAGCACATTGGTTGTTTTTGGTCAGGTTTCGAACTGAAGCCTAAGCAACATACTTTTGAGAGCTTTGGTGAGCAGGTATGAATTTAATTTGTTTTTGAAGCTAGGCATGCTTACAAGCACTTTGCTATATAGCAGTGAGCTATGTCTCTTGTAGTTTTTCTACTGTCCTGCAAGTCTTTTCAGCTAGCGTCATGCCTTATGGTGCCAGATAAAATGCAGACTTGGCTGCCGGGTTGCAGACAGAGTACAGCTACCTGTGCTTCTGCAACCCTCTTACTGCAGTCTAGACAGTTACAAGTCTTCTCAGAATGTGCATCCCGCGCATTAGCTATTGCAAAGTTTTCAGGGATATATTTCTTGCCTGATACTATCCTTTTAGAGTGGAGATGTGTCATTTCTGATGTGAAAAATCTCTAAAGTTATTACAAGTTCTGTTCCTCCTCCATAATGATCAAGGGAAGCTCCTCACCACTGGAAGGCTTTCAGCATGAAAGCCTGATTAAATACTGAGTGCTTTGCTTTCTCTTTTTCATTTGGTCTCTTCCATCTGTGCTCACCTTAAATACCAAGAAATGTCAAAGCAATCTCCTGTTCCTGATAAATTTTGAAATTTTATGCAAAGAGTGATGATCTCTTCAACTCTGTGCAGAAAACAAACTACTTCTCCAAATATGTAGAAAAGCACATTTTAGGTGTTTAAACACCAAAATCTCATGCTTCATCTAGAGGCCTTCACTCTAGCAGCCTGCTCCTTTTTTTTGAATGAAAAATTTCCATGAACTTTCTCCTTAGAATGCTTTGTAAAGTCCTGTTTTCATATTCTACCCCTTTTCTGGTGTGATTTTTGAACACCAGTTCTCCTACCTGTTTCTTCACGGGTGACCTTGCTGCTATCTGATACATGGTTTTGGTGGCAAGGTGTTTGAGCAGGTTTTTACAATTAACTTTTCTGAATAAACAGACATTGTCCGAATAAATAGACCTTGCTGTTTGAAGGAATTTCTCCTACTCTTCCTGCTCCATGTTCCACGCTATTCTGAACCACTGACGTGATAAAAAGCTGACTAACCCAGGCTGAAATGGGCCAAAGCTGAAATGTTGGCTCCAGGCATTCTTGGATGCTGACAGCTGGTTTCCATTGACAAGTCTGTCTGTAAAGCCTGAAGAAAAGGGTTAGTTTCTGTCCTCCTCCAGAGCTGTGACTGCGCACTGGGTGAGAGCGACTTTTCTGACCCTTGGAAAGATAGAATTGGAGACATCATGGCTTAGGATAGCGCAATCTATGGGTTAATTTCTCCACTTGGGTTTACAATATGTTATATGCGAGAGAACAGAGAAAGATGAGGCTCAATAAAGTGTTTTTAAAAGAAGGTTTGGACCACTGTTTGAACTGCTTCTGCCCAGCTGGCCAGTAGATGTTTGTGCTTGCAATTCATTCTCTCTGAGACTCAGAAATTCTGAAGACGTTGCATACGCAGACTCAGAGCAGGATGTAACTATGTAGAAGA